TGTTGTTTCTGGATCAGGCAGAATGGTGAATGAATCCAGGCAAGACTCACATTTAACTCCCTTTTAGGAGACAGACTTTTTYCTCAGTCATAAATAAGCAAAAATAAATTGCATCCAGAAAGCAAATGGCAAGCAGATGAAAACCCTTTGGCTCTTAGCTTGAGGACCTCCCTGTGAGCAAATTCAGAACCAAGCCAGAGGAGCAGGGACAGCAACCAGGCAGCCCCACATGGGCTGGGAGGCTGCAGTGCCCATCACACTTGGGCATCTGGGGCTTTCATCTGCCAGGTGCTTCCCCCAGGGGTCCAGCCCCTGGCTCAGATGCTYCAGCTCTCACAGGAAAAGAGACAGGGCGAAGTGTTTAACCCTGCAATCAACAGGGTAACATGCTGCCAAGTACAAGGGTGCTTTGAGTAAAAATCCTAATGTAAAACGGTGCTTTAGTGATGCATCTTCAATCTGCATGCACTGTAAAGATGCCCAGATAGCCAAAGCAGTTCCAGTCTGGGGTGCATTTATTTCTGATGCCTGGCTGAGGCTATGGAGCACATCTCAGAARTACTAAATATCCAAAGGAGGTACTAAGAGCTGCAGATACTACAGATCTCCAAAGCAAAAGCTGCTTTACAGCCTTAAATCCAGGAGGGGAGGGCAGAAGGAATAACCTCTGCGGCTGCACAGAGAAAGGGTGGGTCTCTCATCACTAACGTTTACCAGCTTGAAGAAAACACTGTGTTAACATGAGACATAGAAGTTTTAAGCCACAATAATTTCCACATTTCACCCCACCCATTTGTGACCATGCACAAAACCGCTGCTTTGCCAACCACTGATAATTTAACAGTAAAACAGAGAAGGGGAATAGCAAACCAAAAAGATAGCCTTCAAAAGAYAGATAAATCTCAAGCAAATGTGCTGGCAAAGTGAGGAAAGAGGAGAAAAGGTTATTTGAGGGATTAAAGACAGAAGCAAATCTGAAATTCTCAGAGAATGCAGATTCAAGAAAAACACTGATAAAGTTCCTTTTTGGACCTGAAAAAAGATTCCCTRTGAAGCATTAAGAGTGGATTGACATCTGGCTTGCCAGATAAAGATATTCTGAGCAAACAAAACCACGTACAATGTCAGTGACAATCCTGAGATAAAAACCTCAGGCACTGGCATCTTAACAGATGTTGTAGTGCAAAATCTACTGGTGCTGCACTCCCATCTCGATGTAGGAATACAACTGAGCAGTGCTTCAKCCCAGGATAACATTCCAAAGGGCACTTTAAAGAACACTGTACCATTTGCCACTGCCTGGTACATTATTCTAGTGGCAAGGCCTGCACTTCAGACCAGCACTTTCWCTCCAAATTCAGCCCTGGGAAGTCAGTATCCTTTATCCAGGCTTTCATGTCCAGCACCAATTCATGGAATGCCAGGAAGGAAATATCTGTAGAGGACAGCTCTGAAGTCTGAATCCCAGTGAGATATAGAATTGTTAAATTAATTCAAGTCAAACTGATGAGAAGTGAGACAAAGTGGAACTGTGTTTGGAGCCAATGGCTTTGCCTCATTTGCCATTACACAGCTCTCACCAGCCCTGCTGGCTTTGGGATTTCTAAGTTCACAGCCATCAAGAGGGCACRACTGGGTCAAGCAGCAGAACACAAGTAGTTTCACTGGGTTTCTTTTAAGTTCCTTTGTTRTACCTGATTGCCCATAATTGAAAATGTAGTTGTATCTGCATTCCTGGCTCCATCAAAAGACACTTTATTTTCTTACTATTCTAAAGCACTCCCCAAGCTTCTGCTAATAATTTTGCTTGACCTTTATTAAAGACCAAGCATTAGCTGGCAATTAGATTTGGTGATCCCTTTGGTGATTGAGGCTCAGTGATTTACTGTAAATTATAAATAGTTCAAATATTTCATTATGTTTATTCTTTATACAAGCCTTGTGGCCAGGTAAGCACTGACATGACATTCACTGTTAAATGATCTCATTAAACTTCTTAATTTAAGTGGTGCAACACTTCATCTGCCACATTATCCAAGSACTCCTGCAATGCACATTAAACATTCAGCATGAATAGATGCTCTACCATAGTTCACCTTGTTGGGAGTGAAATTTCAGTCCCTGAGCATAAGGTTGACTACTTTATGCTGTTTGTCAGAGACAATAAATAATGCAGATAGATACCCATGTAAAGTAAGAGGTTGAAGACATCGATAGCTTTCCCACAAGATTTTGAAGGAGGCTCTCAAAAGAAAAGACTTTAAATTATGAAAAARTACCGTGAGGAGGAATAAGAGGGGTATCTGGCTTTTCCTGGCTTGCATGTGTTTTATTTGATACATTTTTAATTGTTTCCCTCACAAAATGAATAGTTCTAATATATTTCTCCCGTGCTTTTATATTGTATGATCTGTAACATCTGTTTCTGGACATCTCTTCTGAAGGATGAAAGGCTCCTGGCAATTCTGCTGTAGTCTGTGAACATACTAGACTAGTCCCTGGATAGATTTAGGCTTCATCATATTGTATTAACCTCACATATTGAATATGTTTTTTTGACTTAGAAGGCTGGATTAGCTTTTATTATCAGAAGAGAAGCAGTAAAGGTTTCAGTATTACAGATGGAATGGCAGATGGGAAGCAAAAGCTTAATATGAAGCAGTTCTGGATAAAAACTATTAATCCACAAAATTCATATGTTCTTATGCAGGGAAACCTAGCAAAACCCACTGCAATATGACTAACCAGAGAGAAGTGTAAAGTGCCCCTAGCCCATTATCTGACAAATCATGGCATGGGGTCCAGAAGAAAAAAAAAACCCTCAAACACCCTATTTACTATTTCCTGGGAAAACAATCAGCCCTCTCTGGGGTTTGCAGGGAGGTAATGGCTTTCTAAAGCCTATAAATAATATACATTTATAACGTCTCCACCATGAAAATGAAATGGACTCCTATTTGATGAGATAACATTTGAACATTTTTATAGCTGTAATATTCCATATTAAAAAAGATACTTAACACTACTTATAAGTCACTGTCATTGAAGTTGCAGCCCTGAAAAAGGCTTCTAACTTTTAGTTGAAGTACACCATGGTGTGAAGAGGAAGCACATTGCCATCATTTTCTGCTTTGGAGAAAGGGAAGTGAGCCCTTCAGCCCTGCCTGGGWGCCACTGAGAGCCCAGCACAGAGCCCTGAGAGCAGCAAGGGGAAAGCAAAGCCCCAAGAACTCCCCCTCTGAAGAACCCTCCCGGAATTCTCCAACTGAATGGCACTTGTTCAGAGTTTGAATGACTGCAAGATAGCAGGGCATTATTACAAAGAACCCSTTAACACTGAACCCACTGCAGGCTGCTCCACAAACCCGTGGCTGTTGATGGCCATGTCTGGAGGTGACAGACCCCATCTGGTTCCACTGGGACCAGTTCAGGCTGCCCCAGGTCATGGCCTCAACATTACACCATGGTTGGGGTGGACTCAACACCACAGGACAACTGGACACAACTGCTGGCACCAGTCTGTAACCACACCAGACCTTCARCAACCATTCTGCTGCAATTTGTCTTGTTGGATTCACAGTGCCAACACCTACCTCTCCCTTTATGGCCTTGCCTTAGTCYACTTGTTAGCATCAATACAGCATTCCTCACCAGGAAAGTGAGTAATAGGGAATAACAAGGTAGTTAATCCCAAAACTCATGAGATATACAGAAAAMTACACATTCTCCCTTAAAGACAAGGTTAATATCTCAAAATTRTTAGTCCTCTTCCCGTTGGACACCAAAAATGTTTAACTCCAAATACTGTGATTTCTTCATTCAAATCCCCATGTTCTAACATCAAGGCAGTCTCAGTGACTCTTGTRCTTTAATCTTCCTCCCCAAAATGTGTTGCATTTCACTGAGAGTGCTTAGAAATGGGCACCAAAAATAAAATTTTTTTGTCAGTCCTCACAAAATCCTTCCTAAGGCATGGGCTCAGGGGTTTTGTCATTGTTCACTTCAGTCCAAGCAGCACCTTCAAGGAGGGATTCACACTCTGAGAGATCTTGGAGAAGCCTAACCAGGGGAAGCATATTTCTCTTCTAGGAATATTAAAACCATGYCATATCATCACTCATCAGGAAAYGGCCCAAGAAAGTCACTTCCCCTTYCAYTGATTCATTTCAACATAGAGGAAAACAGAAGCCACAAGGAGAATTTCATGTTTTCCTCCTCTTCATAACTCTTACAGCMTAAACCAAACAGCTGAAGGATACTTGGGATTTTTTGTTGTTGTTGTTTGTTGGGGRGTTCTTTGTTGGTTTGGGGKTTTTTCATGGACTATCTACTTTTGCACAATATAGGAATGAAGCTCTGAGGCCTGGGTGATGTAAATCCAGAAAGAATATAATTTCCCTTAAAATCACAAGCCTTATCATGTGATGSTGTATGAAATTCTTTGCCTGACACCATCTGAATAAAGATATTGAGTCAATGGTGGGTGCTRAAGATACAATTGACTTCTAGCAAGTTATTTGTCACTCTAGAGCCATTATCCTCCACAGAGAAAGCACAAAAAAAAAAGGGAGAGGAGTACCTGAATCTATATTCATACCTTTAACACTTGCTGAGACATCAAATCAAACTGTTAATCAGAGCCCTGGGAGGGAGGAATCTCTCCATGCCTGGGATTCATTTGCTGAGCTCCAGCACTGCTGGCCACTTTACCCATCCTCTCTTGCAGGTACCCCTTTTGTTGGAAAAAATGACAAACTAGAGCTGCCTCTCAGTCAAAGTGCCCCCAGGCAAGTGGCAGACAGACAGGGTACAATCAGGTGATTGAATCTTTGGCTAGTGTGGCTGTCAGACACCAGCCTCACCAGCAGGAGTTTTCTGCTGAAATATAAAAGAAACTGCCCCTCTGCTTCTTGCAGCACACACAGACATGTCATCCCTTATAGCCATAATTATTATCCTTTAGGAACAAATCATGTACATTCTTAAAATGCTCATTGTACCTGATGGGGTAGTCAGCAGCACTGAGGTTAATGAAGAAATCCCAGGGCCAGTCACTCATCTCCATTAAGTCCTTCATGGTCTGCAGGTAGGTGGTCAGCAGGCTTGCTCCTCCCCAGATGGTGGCCATTCTCCAGGAGGTGACTCTCACATTTGGGTACTGGCTGGCAAACTGCAGCACTTGCCGGTGCAAGTAATTGGACCGCTTTACAGGAGAAAAGAGTAACACATTCACGTTATTCTGTCCAAAATTGTTTCTCCCTGTGTTCACTAAAGGCCAACCCTACTTCTTGACTCACTGAGCGCTGCCATTGCTTTGCCCTCACTTATATGGTATACAGCCTTCTTCTGCTAAATGTACAGAGAGCCCTGCTTAATACTTTTTATTACAACTACAGTAATCACTTATCAGTGTGATTAGCTTTATTCACCATTTTCATCCTAGATCCCCAAGGGTTTTTGTAAAGGAGGTGACTGCAGTGTGTAACTTGCCCAAGACACCTCAGGGCAGTTCTCCATCCACCACCTCAGTCTGCATCAACTTWTCCATTATTGCTAACTAAATGTACAACAGACAGACAAGGGGAGATAGTCATCGACATAGAAGGAGAAATGAAGGCTGTTACATAAAAAAGATAACAAGAAAGAAAATGTAAGGAAAAAAAAKAGGCTCCAAATATGTAACAGATGGAGAGACAAAAAGTGACGTGCACTTTATGCAGCAGAGGTAAAGGGAAGATGAAGAAGATGACAAAGATGGGTGGACTGACAGATGGTGAGACAGGCAATTTATAACCAGTGATATATTACCTTGTCAACATGAATGTAATAAAAATGGTCTTTATGGTAAATAGCCTTAAACATGCGCTGGAGCTGCCGGGAAGCTCTGCCATGAACAACCAAGACAAATGCGATCCTGACTGGGTTGGCTGGCATGTATTCTACGGAGTCCTCATCCCACTGTACATTGTTGTTGGCTTTTCCTGTTCAAAAACAAAACACAGGACATCTCTGAGTGTATCCACAGGGCAGGGGTGCAGAGAGCAGTACACATTCCACCTGGGCTCTTCCTTCAAAGGCACTTTGTAGGGCAGGGTGAGAACTCACAGGGGTGCCAGCCTGTGTCCCATCTGGTTTGTACCCCTCTCCTCTGTCCCCACACAGGCCACCACCCCTTGGGCAGCAGCCCATGCCCATGGCCTCATCCTGAACAAGGCTGCATAAACATGGGCAAGTACCCAGATGTTTATGGGTTGGATCAAGCTCTACCTGAGTACAGCCATTTGAACCCTCAAAGGAATCTCCTCCAGGTTTGTAAGCAGCATCCAAAATATTCAAACAAYGACAAGGCAAACATTCCCCCAGAAGGAAACCCCCTGTTTAGCCAAAGCTGCTCATCCACAGCCCCTGAAAGAACAGCTTTTGCAGTAGTACTGCTYATAAATTAGTGCCACTTTATTGCCCCCAGTTGTGTTCAGACTAGACAATAGCAAATTTCTAGCCCCATGAGTCACTCTTAACCTTACATGGGACACAAACAACTTAAATGGTATTTTTTTAAAAACCCTTCACCACTGTTTCAGAACTACTTGGATGWGTATTAAAATATTAGAAAGAAGCTTATTTTTTTTCTATAATTTTCAGTTCATTTATGATGGCCATTAGCCTATGCCCAATTCTACTGTTTCTCCTGTGCAGCTATTGAGCTTCACCATGCACGTGCTTAAGGTTTCTTCCGAGTGACAGGGACAAAAAGGGACTGTGAGAGAAGGAAAATGTGCTTGCAAAGAGAACTGACAGGGGAATGAAGGGCAATTGCAATTGCAAAAACAAGCCATTTTTCTTTTAAACTGCTTTGATTTCAAGCTGATGATGTTCCATCAATGGACTCAAATATTTTTAGTGGTTTTCATTACATTTTTGGATACCTCTCTTCTGYAATCTGTGGTTTTCTGCAATGATATGCAGAAGGTGAGAGGAATTTAAAATAGTCRTATTATGGGTCTTTTATTTTAATCTAACTTGCTTTCAATACCTACACTATCATTTATCTAGCAATTACTGAGAACAAAATGCTCTCAAATCTTCACCCGAAATGCCACCTCACTGCATCAGTTTTCYTTAATAAATTCCTGCAGTGACTTATTTTGCTCTCTGCTGTTTTCCTTTTCTAACCTTTTTTTTTTTTTATGTGCTTGTTTCTTCTTTCTCTTTTAGGTTTAGGTTTTTATACATGCATTTGCCACCTGCATACTATTATGGGTTTTTGAATACAATCCTATTCTTGGCTGCCTGGAGTTTCACAAAGGAAGAATGTTACTTTTTCCATCTGCCAGACTATCTGTTACTTTGCTCTAYGCTGTCACTTCCCTGCTTTTAGCTCATGGCTGCTTAGCACCCTCAGACTATTTCACTGATAAAGAACCAGCACGGTTTGCAAAGAAGATGAACTTGGCAGGAAACAYTGAATTGAGGATCTGCTTATTAAAAAATACAGCAGGACTTCAGATGTGTATGAGCAATGTCAAGACCTGAATAGCTCCAGCCACTTCATCTCTGTAAAACTCATGCAGACCAAAGCCTAGCACATCATGTCAGTGCGTTTCCCACTTCCCAACATGTTTAGAGAATACCCTTTTTCTAGAGTAGATTTTTTTTTAGGCAGATCAGTGCTTTAGATTTTTAGGCAGATCAGTGCTTTACAAACCTTAATAAAAAGCCCATAATGTCAATAGAAAGTAAAACAACAACCATGAAGAATTTGATTGTTACAGTTCCATCCTGGGAGCACAGCTCTACTCTCACAATTTCTTTACACACACAAGTCAGTGGGGAGAGTGAATGGAGCATCCTCTTATGGCCATCTGAGACAGGTGAAACAGCCTCTGGCCTTGAAGCAGGACTTGTCTTAGGATTCCTCGAAGTTTGCTGTTCATTACAGGAACAGCGGATAGAAGAGCAACTTCTCACATTGCATTGCTCCAGAGAAACTGGAACCTYAACAGAAGGGGAAGTGCACACCCAGCTCATCTTCCAGCCCATGTATCAAAGGGTGTTTATTGTGCCATCCACTGCTGAAAACAAACCACAGCACTCTGCTCTGTCACCAAATGTCTTGCACAAACTTACTGAGGAAAGTGAAAGCTGCCCTCTTGCTTCCTGCTCAGAGCCTGACAGGACTGACATCAGTGTGTTGGCAGGAAAACCTGTACCTGCTTTCAAAGATAACAGGAGAACCTCAGCTCTAGTGAAATTTCAACTTGCACTTTCCGTGCCCAGAAAAATCAATACTCATAATTAAGAGCTTAATCTTCAACTSTTGCAGCATTACTAAATGCCAGAATAATGAAGATAGTGCAATCATTTTCACATTTGTGGGGATGCCACATTATGTTCAATCATCCCCCAATGTAACTCAGAGCCAATCTGCTGATCTCTCACCTCTACTGTTAATTAATGGGATCAGACCTCCCCAGCAGCACAAAGCAATCTTTCAATCTATTTTGTGAGCCATCTTATGTTTTGCAAATCAATCCATCTTGTCCTGTTTTCAGTCTGGTATTGTCCTGGCTGCCCAACAGATCTCCTCTGCACAGATACCGGGATGCTGCTGACTTCATCTGAGCACAGCCACGTGTGTATGCTGTGCCTTAACCCATGAATCAATGGACAGAGGACATCAGAAGAGTTATTGCTGTGTASTTCAGCACACTATTTACTGCTATTACATCCATAAATGCAATCAGAAGCCCTGTCATTACAGCAGGAGTATGAGCAACAATCACTCCAAAGAGGCAGAGCTCTGCAGTCCCTACTTAAACTCCCAGGAGCAGCCCCATTCCCTTCAGTGGGACCATTTCTGCAACAGCCAGCTGAGTGGTAGTTGCTGAACTCAGATTTCCACTATAAACCCCTTTTCAATTGCTCAACAACTCTACAACACAGCAGGTTGAAAATTTCCAGGCTTGGCTTTCATCTGAAAATGTTTTCCATTTTGATTATAGCAAAACTAGCTTTGCCTTGTACAAATGGTGGCAAGACCAAAAATAAATAAAGAAAAAAGTTTTCATTCAGGAAACAAAAATTTTGTATCATACCTGGTAATAGAAGTAGTTGGAGTTCTATAAAAACGACAAAAAAAAAAAAAAGTCATTGAGCAATTTCCCAGTGAGCCATCAGGACCTGATGAGAAGATTTTGTCTGAGGGTTTGGTGACAGCAACATTCCCCTGGCCTGAGCCAGAACTCYTGCTGGAGCTCAGCCCCAATGGCCCACTACACCAAGGGCATCAGCTGCCATCAGGCTCGAGAGGGGAGGCTCTGTCGTGCTGCAGTGCTCTCCTGTGACAGCACCTTGCACAGGAGAGGTAAATTCTGAAGCACAGCTYCTGTTAACCATACTTARATGGAAAGCCCAACTTTGGGATGTYCATTTTCACCTCCAGTCTAAGAAATGCTTTACTGGTTTCCATGGTGGCCCTTGTGGAGATCTTYAGTGAAAGAAAAGATTTTATGTGAACACTGATTTTATATACATACATATATATTTAAATTATTACAATTATGTGTATATAAAATGCCCATTGGTCTGTCCACTGTGCAGAAGACCCCTTTGGTAAATAAGATAATTACCATGATGTGGAATCACCACCCTGTGTGCCCACTGAGCCCAGCACATGCACAGCCCAGGCCAGTGARGGGCTCTAGCAAAGCAAACCAACACCTGATGAAGATAATCACCCCATCTGGTCACTGGTGTAGCTCCTCCTAGTGGATTTTACCTTGTTTACCTAAGGAGGAGAGGTGAAATCAGTTGAGATGATCTGCACAACTGTCCCCAGACATGGGGATTCAAGAGGGATGGTTATGATTTACAGAATGAAGWGTTGCTATTTGCATTCTGTAGATTTCCTGAAAATTGCTGTTACCCATATCTTTTATCTCTGAGTTAGCACTGACCACCTAAGAAAATAATTCAGGAATCACACTGCTATTGAAGAATGGATATTCAATTTTTTTGCAGTAATGTTTCATCCCAACAATCCTGTTCTACTATTTTTCAGTCTCAGAYTCTATCAAGAATTACAGGAGCAATTTATGATCCTCTGTAACTTCATATGATCAAGTAACCCATAAGCAAAAAAATCAATGCAAGGTAGGAGGGAAGCAGTGAGACATAATTTAGAAGCACTCCGTGGCCACTGCATTTAACATTAAAAAGACAGATTTCAGTAATGTTCTTTCCATGCTGAGAAGAAACCYTGGCTTGGAACAAAGGAGCTGCTGATGTGGGCATTTTGAGTCTTCTTTAATCATTTCAGAGGGTGACAGCATAAACTTAGGGCAGTCAGAGAAGAAGAGTCACTGCCTTACAGATGGAAATTCCCTTCATGAGATCACTGGAAGCTTCTCTACAGTGAGGTTGTGAGCTGATAAGCAGCTCTGCATCCCTGCAGAATTTATATAAAATGGGAAACTCACTGAAATGACAGATGTAGGTTCAGTTCTACTGTTCATGAACAGAAAAATAAAGGGCAGGAAAGACACCCTGCACTCRAAATGAAGGTCTTTTTTCACATGACTTGCAGAATTCACTGTAAAGAAGAAATATAAAAACCTTGAGAACAAGGACAGAAATTTTTTGTACCACAAAATCTGCAAAAGCAGTTTGGATAACACAGGACTGTTCAAAATCAATCTTCAGGATCCATGTACATATGTACATGTGTGTGCAGCAGAAGCACACTCATRGTCACTACATTTCTAACAAAACCASGCAGCACTTGGTTTGAAGCAGCCTACCATATTTCAAACAAAAAATTTGTTCTATCATGCAGTCAGTACCAAGTTATTACTGAAACCATTTTTATGATTTGCAAATGACCAGTTAATTATCAGATTCCACTATACTGCAYTTGCAATACACACTAAACTTAATTTACTGCAATACTTATCTAGGCAGGGCAATCATCTCTCTAACAAGC